ACCTTGGGCTTCAGCTGTGTCTCCTGCTCCCAGCCCACTGAAGCAGGAGGCTTTTCTTCACTTAGCTGCAGGCTGTTGAGGCTGACAAGCCCAAGGTTGACAAGTAACAAGGCACAGTCCCCATATTACCAGACCACATGGCAGGTCATTAATTCAAGTCCATTGCAAAGTCCCAGGATCGGCAGAGCATGGCAGGCTGCTGAATAATGACTCAGCTACATGCAGGGTTCAAGTGTGCCATAAGCTGAATACCATTCCCAAAGCGGCTGCTTATATATGGGAAGCAGACCACTGCCCTAAAGCAGTTACTCAGCTGCTCCAGTATATTCCACCATGGAGTTAATTATCAATCTCACCCTGGGGAATAACTACATTCAGCTGCCTAGCACTCAACCAGGCCCAGCCAAGCTGACACACAGCCATAACTACCACAGGCATATAGCTACGAATGGAATTGCTGGGTCATATTGAGAGGTCTGGTGGTGCAGTGCCTAAGGCATTTGACTGCTAACCAGAAGGCTGGCGGTTCAAACCCATCAGCCACTCCTCGGAAGGAAGATTGGGCAATCTGTGTCTGTAGAGACACTGCCTTGGAAGCTCAACGAGGGTCACTGTGAGTCAAATCGACTGGACGACAGTGAGGTTTTTTTTTTTTCCCCACGGTAGTTCTGTTTTTAGTTTCTTGAGACACTGCCACACTGTTTTCCACAATGACTGTACCACTTTGCATTCCCACCAGCAGTGGATAAGAGTTCCATTTTCTCTTCATCCTCACCAACGTTTTTATTCTTTTTTTTTTTTAATTTAGCCATCCTAGTGGGAGCGATACGGTATGTCATCGTGGTTTTGATTTGCATCTCTGTAATAGGTTATGAAGTGGAGCATCTTCTCATGTATTTCGTAGTCATTTGAATGTTCTCTTTGGTGAAATGTCTATTCAGAAAGCACATATGTTACTGTGTCACATTTGTTGTTTGTAAAATTTTTAAACAATATTTTATTGAGGTTTACTTGACATAAAATTAACCATTTTAGAATGAACAGTTCAGTGGCACTTAATACATTTACAGTGTTGTGCAACCAGGACATCTTTCTAGTTCCAAAACATTTCTACCATTCCAAAGTAATTGTAAAGCATTTTGCTCATATTTTGGTATATTTGTTTACTTTACAATCCTTTTGAGTTTTATTTTATGCATTTAAAGATATTCTGAGAACCTCTACCTAGAGTTTAAGTGAGGAAGAGACTGTGAGCCAAGATTTTGATGGAAGAAAATGTGTGTAGTTCTTGTCTTTTTCACAACTGTTTCTTAGGCTTCACAGTTTGTGAATGGGGGAGGGGTGATGAGGCCAGAGGAGGCAGCAAGTATAGGGAGAGATGGTGGAGAGAGGTGGGATGCAGAACTTGCCCTGCAAAAAGATAATTTTTGTTGTTGTTGTGTTTGCCATCGAGTCAGATCTGACTCATAGAGACCCCTCTTTGGGTTTCTGAGGCGGTATCACTATGGAAGTAGATTGCCCAACCTTCCTTCTGAGGAGTGGCTGATGGGTTTGAACCGCCAGCCTTTTGGTTAGCAGTCAGATGCCTTAGGCACTGTGCCACCAGAGCTCCCAAGGGGTGCAAAACTTGGCCTGCAAAAAGATTACTTTAGGGACTTAAAAAAGGTTGGAAATGCTTAACAAAAATGAAAGAATCAGCCTGTGCCATAATTATTTCGATGTGATAATTTTTCTGATTTGAATAAATATGTAGCAACAACCAGTCATAAAGATGTAATTTGTCTTGTATATTGGTTGAAATAGAAATTTGATTTGACACTAAAAAAAACCCTTAAAAACTTTCTGAGAAAGATTCTATAGCTGCATTGTCCAGTACAGTAGCATGAAGCTTTTGAACAGTTGAAATGTGGCTAGTCTCAGTTGAGATGTGCTGTAAGTGGAAAATACACAACAAATTTTGAATACTTAGTATGAAGGAGTGTAAAATAGCTCTAATAATTAAAAAAACATATTGATTAGATATTGAAGTGATATTTTGGATATATATTGAGTTAAGTAAAATACATTATTAAAATTAATTTCACCAGTTCTTTTTTTGCCTTTTTTTAATTCCGAGTAGTATGGTGGGTTTGAACCACCAGTCTTCTGGTTAGCAGTCAGATGCCTTAGGCACTACACCACTAGAGCTCCTAGAAATTTTATATATGTGGTTTACATTACATTTCTTTTGGACAATGCTGCTTTGTAGGCTTCACTAGACTGCTAAAGCGATCTAAAGTCAAGAACACTTTATAGGTGATGTAATTGCGTCATATTTTATCATCATGTTAGAAAACACTAAATATCAGGTGTCCCATTATTAGCAATGCTATTTGTTTTTAAGGAACTCTGTTGGTGCGATGCCTGAGGCATTTGACTGCTAACCAGAAGGTTGGCAGTTCAAAACCACCAGCCACTCTGTGGAAGGAAGATGGGGCAGTCTTTCATAAAAATTCACCACCTCAGAAAACCAATGAGGGTTGCTATGAGTCAGAATTGACTCAATGGCAGTGAACAGTGAGTTTTTTTTTCCTCCCTTCTGGTTTTTAAGTTACTTGTTTAACGGGTGACTGTTACATCTCAACATTGTAAAGGTAAGTCTCTTTCCTATGTCAGGTAATATGTTGGCACTTTATGAATATGCTATTCCCCAATAACCTTTCACCTGTTGATCCTGACATCTCTTGATAAGCCTTGCCTGAATTAGTTAGTATGGTGGGGTTGTAAAAGGGGTCATTTTCTAATTCTCTTCTTCATTCTGGTAAAGAAAGAAATTCCCTTCCTGCCCCCTTTTTTTCCTTTTGTCCGTAAGACATAAGGACTTTAATTTACTTGTTATGTTATAAAGAAGCCCTGGTTGTGTAGTGGTAAGCACTTAGCTGCTAATGGAAAAGTTGAGGATTCCAATCTACTGGCCACTCCATGAGAGAAAAGACCTGGGAGTCTGCTTCCATAAAGATTACAGCCTAGGGTTGCATCTTCTGCCCTATGATTACTTACTTCTGCCCTAAGACTACTGCCTGTGGGGTAGTCCTACTCTGAGTAGCTGTGATGGTACATGAGGACAGCAACATTGGACATCAGGATTTTTATTTACTGTACTTACTGTGTGATAGGCAATTGTAGTCATTATTCTTTTTGATACTCAGATTGGCCTGAGTTTGAACAGTAGTAGCCCTTGGTTCCTGTGATATGATTTCATTAATCTTTATACTCTTTCTTGCTTCTTACAGTACTAAGATGCC